CACACACACACACACACACACACACACACATGTTTTACAAATAATAAAATGAATAATAAAAAATAAAAAAAAGTAAGAAAAGAAATCAGAAACACCAATCAGAAAGGACATATGCACCCCTATGTTCATAGCAACACAATTTCCAATAGCTAAGATTTAGAAATAGCCTAAGTGCCCATCAGTAGATGAGTGGATTAAAAAACCGTGGTACATCTACACAATGGAATACTAGGCTGCTGTTAAAAAAGAGGAACACTTACAATTTGCAACAGTATGGATGGAACTGGACAGCATCATGCTAAGCAAATTAAGGCAGGGGGAGAAAGATAAATATAACATGATCTCACTCATTTCTGGTCAATGAAGAAAAATGGCGACATATGTAGTATAATATATACCACTTTAAACAATAAAGAATTTTAAAAAAAGAAATATTGTGAAAATATCCATACTACACATTGCAATCTACAGATTAAATGGAACCCTGAGGATAATTCTTATGGTATTTTACAAAGACATGAAAAGAGAACCTTGAAGTGTATAGAACTAAAAAATGTGAATAGCAAAAACCCCCAGTAGGAGATGTGGAGGAGGCGGCTGATCGATGTTTCTCTCTCATCGACGTTTCTAACTCTCTATCTCTCTCCCTTCCTCTCTGTAAAAAAATCCATAAAATACATTTTAAAAAAATAAAATAAAAATAAGAGAAAAGTAAAATGTTTAAAAAAAACTGCAAGACAGAGGAAGAAGGGAAAGATAGTTTCTTCAATGAATGGAGCTGCTGAAAATCAATACTCACATGGAAACACAACAATACTGGACACCACTGATAAAATATAACACAACCTGCGTAACAGAATTGAATATCAGCGCTAAAACTTAAAACGGCTCAGGACAACCTACAGAAAAAGTTTTGGAGATTTGTTATGACATGATTTTCTGAATGTGACACCAACCACCACAAAAAAAACCCAAAAACAAACAGTCGAGATGTCAACAAATAAAGAAAAAAGCTTCTTCACAGCACAACAGCAATACACAAAATGAAATGAAAGGAAATCGAGAGAACAGAAGAAAATAATTGCAAATCCTATGAAGAAATTGCTTGGAGAGATTGTGAATTCAGTTCTCATCAGCACAATAATGTGAATATTGAGATCTAGACAAAAATTCACACAAATAGTTGGAGTTCCCAGGGAATAATAAAGTCATGTTAATACTATATTGGAGGCTAATAACAATGCAATGACTTGTCGGAAAACCAAACTCGATATAACTTCATTAAAAATACTTTATTGCTAAGCACTAGCAACAAGCATCTGAGCTTGCCAAAAACATGGTGGCACTAGACCTGCTGAACGCAGGGTTGCCAAAAACATGGACTTTGTAGAAAAGCGGGTGTGGGGAGCAATATCAGCAAAGCACAATTAAGCACATGCAAAAATATGTGTTCCTGTATGTAATAAGCAATTAGTATATAAAATATACAGGGTAGTTAGAACACTCTTTAACCAAAAAATACAGTGAATAAACAGGATAAGGATGTAGAGACAATTCTCCAAAAAATAAGTACAAATGATCAACAGGAATATAGAAAATGCTTTCCTCACTGATCAAGGTGGAATC